AGGACAGATGGTCTGAAAAATATCACCTTCTATCTTACTCCAACAAATGACTGGATGCTACAAAGAGTACAGAGCACTATGTGGAAAAATACATCATTCCCTGAGGAATTCTAAGGTAGTTATGTTCAATTCCTTTCAGGTTACTTTTTTTTAGGAGAATGCCCCTTAAAGGAGTCAAGAGAACCAAATTACTATTCTACAGTATGACTCACATTAAGATTCTGATAAAAAGGCAAAAGTCTTTTTCTGGGTTGTGCTATAATATATACCCAAGCCCAGCTGTGTAACACATTTAAAGCCATTGGAACATATCTCTGCTTGCTATTAGCTTTGAGTACTCAGGATGACAATGATAAAGTTAATAACCAGAAGATCCCCAACTACTTGGGCCAGAGCCTATGGTTCTTGGATGTGGAACTGTGATTCAGGTGGCAGAACACCAGCCTTGAGCTGAAAATCTGAGGAAGAACATGAGGCTCTGAGTTGAAGGCCCCAATTCCGGAACATATACTAAAAAACTCACAAAACTCTCAATGAAATGTATAACCTGTAGAAATAATAAATACAGTCTTGACAGATAGAGAAGCATTGTAGACCTAAACAATTATCTGAAATCACTGGGGAGGCCCATTTAGTTCTTTTTCATCTAATTGAACAATTGAAAAGGAATTGTTGCTTTTAAGATTTCATACAAATCTTTACTATATATATTTTTTTTTAAAAAGAAAAATAATTCACACAAAGAGATATATTTATATGAGCATGGTTTTTACATTTTGGAATGTCCAATGTATGATGAATTTGTCTACAAAATACAAGCACATGAAAAGAGATTATCATTTTCTGCTGAGACAATCTTAAATGCGCTAGTATGAATGCTATAATAATTAAATTTACAGGCTTTCATAATCCTGTACTTTCCCTAGAGTGATGTTCAGCATTATCCAAGGATAAAAATGCAAACAAGTATATGTATATTTAATCATAAAGATTAACAGGTCAGGGAAGAAGGTGAGTGAAATGAATGTCTAATACTCTAAAGGTAACTACATAGTCTTGGTCTTCCCTAGTTATTTCCTCAACTTGTTTGTACTAGGACCTGAATATATTAATCAAAATTTCCTTTGCTACAGCAAACTTGTTGCATGGGAAGATGGGGATAATGTTCATCAGTGTGTAGAATCATACATTAAAAGGAATTTCATTTCCATGTTAAAAATCAGGAGGTGATTGGCACATACAGTAGCTATAGAGTTGGGAACTCGATACTATGGCTCTTGATGTTTTCATTTTACCTAAGGAAGAGTAACCTACAGACCATGAGCTCCTTTTTAGCTATACAACCTTGAGCTTTTATTAGACATTTCCTGAGTCACTATAGCTTACCTTCAGATTGCTCAGCAAACTAAAATGAGAGGGATAAAGATACTTTGAGATTTCCCCTTGTGATTATTTGATCTCAATTATTTCTCCAACTAAGATGATATCTTTTCAAACCAAGAATAGCACTTGCATTCATGTTGTGCTTTCATAAAACACTTTCACAAGTATTAGTTCTTCTCATGCTCAATACTGCCTTCCTGTAAAACAACCAAAGCATTGTCCCATTGAACAAATAAACTATACCAGTCAGTCTCAGAGCTCATGAATGACTTGCCCAAGATATCACAGTTTATTACTCCATGTCAATATGGTTTGTGGGGTTTTGGTTGTTAGTGCTGATTTTACTTGCTATACTGTTCTTTTATATAGTTTGTAACTTGTAAGAAAATATTAAATACTCTCAAGTCCTAATTGGAGATGCTTATAGTTTCCCTGTTTGTCTCCCTGATTTTCTAGCTATATGGTCATGAGCATCCTGTGTATATAATTAGTTATCTTCAAATAGTTGGACTTAACAAAGCAGTTTATAAACGCAGTGCACCTTTATTGGTGTTCGCCCCTTTCAATACTTTTCACTCAATCCACCTCTTCCCTTACTTTTCTTTTTTTTTATTGTGAAAATACTGTACAGAGGGGTTACAATTACATGGGCAAGATAATGAGTACATTTCTTATCAAGCATTGTAACCTCCTCCTTTGTTTCCCCTTCCCATCCCTTCCCATCCTCCTCCCAGCTCCCCACCCAACCCTCCCCCCCCCCCACCAAAGTTGTAAAGTTCGATTTCAACATAACGACTTGTAAGTCTCATTTTGCAATAGGTCCACCTGTATCCCTATGTAAGCGACTTGTTTTTCCCCTTCCCCTCCACAAATTACTTTTCTTAATTTTGTAGTATATACAGTGGTTTCTTGACTGCATTCTCCGTCACTTCCCCCTATAGTCTGTAACTTTTAAGCCTTAAAGACAGGCTCCCTAAGGCTTTCCCCATCTGGGAAGTATGGACTAGCAGCAGAACTCAGTCATAGATTCATTGTCAGGGTTAAGTTTTGTGTTTGTGATTGAACGCTTAGCACTTCCTATGATACTTCCTATTGAACTTCCTATTGACCACTAATTGTATGAATAGTTTATTATTTTTTCAATTTTTCAATTACCTTTAAGTATTTATGCAAAGGAGTTACCATTTCACAAAGCAGCTGGTGAATATCTATTGATCAAGGTCCCCCCTTTCAACACTCTCACCCCTCCCTCCCCTACCCACACCTCTCCTCACTCTCCTTAATGTCATAGCATATACACTAGTAGTGTTTTGACAGAATTCTCCGTCTCTTCTTCTCTTCATTGTCTACTTCTTTTCCCTTGACACTATCCACCCTTTCAAGTACCTACTTCTTAGTGTTTTGTTTTGCCAAACTTTGACTGCTTTTCTAGGAAACTACACTATTTGAGTTCTCTCTTGAATCTACCTTATTTCAGGAAATATGTTTACATACCACTCAATGTATTCATTGATAGGTTTACCTATCTATCTAGCTTCCACATAGAAGAGAAAACAAGCAGTCTTTGTCTCTTTGGGCCTGACTTACTTCACTTAATTTTTTCCAGGTTTCCCATTTCTTTACAATGGTACAATAACATTCTTCCTAATGGATGAGCAAAATTCCATTGTGTACATATACTACATTTTCTTGATCCATTCATCCACTGAGGGGCATCTTGGCTGATTCCATACCTTGCCTACAGTTGGAGATCATGTAGCTACAAATTAACATGTAGACATTCCATACATGTATTGAGACAACATACCTAAGAAAAACAAATATTAATGTAATGACAAGTAAGGTAGTTCTGAAAAAAATCATTTTAGTTCTATAGCTTTTAGGAATGATAGTCTTCATTTCCAAAAATGTGTTGTAAACAACTATCTGAAGTTATACACCTGAAACTTCCAAATACCAAGATACATTTCTTTTTCTTCTCTATGATCTTCAAAATATCCATTAGTCTCTTGAAGGCCAGTCATAAATCCTGCATTTAGTTTATCTGAAACCAACTCTAACAGTTGTATTTCCCACCAATCATTCTTTAGACCAGTTTTTTTGTTTTTCAGACATGAGTGAGCACATCTTGGTCATATGGAACTGAGCATGTAAGTGGGGGAGCTATGCCTTCTTTAGAGAGTTATTCTATAGCTATTCTGAGGCAAATCTCTTTCTGACATTTGGACATAACCTCTAAAATAATGTTTCCATCTAAATCAAATTAAACACTCCATTTTTTTCCTTCTGATTTTCCTCTTCTGGATAAAGTACACAGATGAGAATACAGAAATGGAGACTTAGGAGTAGTTATAGTACTAATAAGGTGTGTGACCTTGAGCAAAACAGTTCAGCTCTCTGAATTTTTCCTTCATTGTCTATAAAATGAGGCTCATGGACTTGCCTTTCCTTTCGGGAAAGATGCTGTGAAGAAGACATAGGTGACTAAGTTGTGCCTATTACCCACATGGGAATGTGGGACTTGTAGGGAAAGAAAAAAGACACTGTATCGTCAGTTAGTGAACAAAGGAAATATATATTCTTTCTGAAATAGCCAGCTCTGTGGAGGATGGGATCTTACTGAGGTGTACAAAAGAAAAATGGGATTTCCAAGTCGATGAATGGAATTCTAGGCCAAAAATTCAGTGTAATGCTCAGTCTAGGAAAAAAAAAATAGGATGTGTTGAGAATTGGGAATTGATCCAGAGAGGCTGAGACCTGTTGTATTTAATAAATTAAGTTATAAACACTAATTGCTCTTTGAAAACTGTATGCCTGGAATTTGATCATAGTAAGTACTCTTTCTGCTCTAGCTAAAACTTGGAATGAATGTCAGGTGAAGTTAATACCTTTGTCAAAGCAAAAGGCTTTGGTTGCCAATAAACAATTTTAAAAGTGCTAGTTCATCACAAAAAATCCAGATTACTCATATTTTTCAGGTACCTTACCTTAGGAAAGAAACATTTCTTACCCATACCATAGGTTTACATCTCTTGGATCAAATTTTATTGGAAGAGATGAGTCATATATCAAGAGGGTAATGTGGAGCTCTTTCTCACGTAGCAATTTGGTGGCCACCGAACTGCCCAGCACCTGAGGGCATTAAGAGACAATGGAAGTTCACTAGACTTTTTGCCTCTATCATCCAGAGGTCCACAGCAGCCTTCAGCAACAGCCACTACAACCCAAGACACGTTCCTGTTCTTGCCTGAGAGACTCAAAGCACTTGTCCCGAGGAGACCCAATGTCACATCCCACTGACACTGTGATTGATCAGTACATTTATTGTACTTTTAGTAGCCAAAATATATAGACTCCAGTCATCTCTGGAGATGCTGAAATAGTCTTTCTTTCCTTGATTTAAGGGAACATAGAGAGGGAAGATATGTGCAGAGTATGACATAAATATGAGCTCAAATATCTAATTAGCTGAAAGAATCTTGGTTCCTTGTGCACCTTTGACAGAATTGCAGCTGTCAGATTGTAGCTGCAATATTTTATGCTCGTTGCAAGATGTATCTGAGCATGATTTAGAAAAGATGCTTTTTAATGTGAATGCCACTCTGATTTCTCTGCAGGATGCTTGAGGATGACCTGAAGCTGAGCAGTGATGAGGATGACCTTGAGCCTGTGAAGACCTTGACCACACAGTGCACAGCCACTGAGCTGTACCAGGTAGGAGGAGCTTAGAGGCTGGATTTGGGCCTGGGGTGGGGGGGAGCGCTATGCAAAAGGGACTGGACTGATTTTGACAAGTCTCCTCTCTTCTTTGTTTCTGTATAAGAGAAGGGAAGAGGCAAAGATGGGTATTCTGGAACAGTCAAATAAGACCCCAGTTTCATTAGAAATAAGAAGTGGAGCTCTTTAGAAGTGCTTTCAACCACTTCCCTGCCACTCTGCAGGCCATATACAAACACTGGCCATCTATAAGCAAGAGAGATTTTCTTTCTTTCCCTCTTGTACTACTTACTGTCATTGGGTTAAATGTCACTTGCTGGCTCCAGTGTAAGGCTTAGAACCCATATTCATTAATGTAGATGTAAATGTGACTGTTCCATTCACTTTTCCCAGATGTACCACTTCACAGCAGCGCTGAAAATGAATAACCTACATCTTGCAGCTCACATGAACTTTCTGTTGCCTTTGTCTTCTTCTGTCTTTCATTATAAGTATTTCCAGTATTTCCTACCAAATCCTATGGCAGGACTGAGACTGAGCTTCTTGATTATGAAAGGCAGCATGCAGTATCAATGATACCTGTGTATTTTCTCTATGAAAAGCATTCTCAAATGTAGGATCCTTCTAGGTGTACTTAGACCTTCAGAAAAAGAATAAAGAATTGCTTGCATTTTTTGGTAATAGTAAAAACTTGCACTTTTTGCAAGTTGGATGCTGTATTAATGTCAAACATAGTGTGAGTGCAGACTGTACTGTGCTAGGCTAAGCCAATTTTGCAATTGTTTCCTAGGGACTTGCTGTGTGTGCTTGCTGAAAATGAGCAGCCCACTTTTTACTTGAGTTGTCAGTGACATTGCACCAACTCCTCTAGGAATTGTTATTACAGGTCGCTAAAAGAATTCAGCCAAAGGATTCATATTGGTGCACAATTAACTCATATACACTGGTTGGAGTCCTTCCTTTCTCCTTTTTACCTCCTGTTCTACCCTGGAAAAAACTTTAAAGGCACTTTGGTGGTACTCTCCTACCCTTGTTTCTCCTTAATGTGCAAGTCATAAATAGGAAAGCAATAATTATTTGAAGCTAATGTTGGACATTACAACTTACTGAATAGTGTAGGAATCAGACAAAATGTTTACCATTAAGTAGGTGTAAACATAAAGAATGTAATGGTGGGAGGGGGTAACAATGCTCAACAGGAAATGGTCTCATTACCTTGCTCATGTAACTGTAACCCCTCTGTACAGTATCTTTACAATAACAAATGCATATATATATTAATAATAAAAAGAGAATGCAATGATTTTCTTCTGAAAAACATAATGGATATTAATGGCCTGACTGGAATATGGTAGGATCACATGATATTCATTAACATATGATTGAATTTTTACTTTTTATCTGCCATTGTTGCAGGCATCATAGAAACGTAAATCCACCCCTGATCTTTTCTATGCAACATTTAATGAATGGTCATTTTCAAGGAAGTCTTCCAAGTCAGGCAGTTGTATTGTGATGACTACACTGACGTTTTGGCTAAAGAGTGGCTGGATTCAGGGGGTGGGGCTTCTTGGGAGTGGGAAATGTTGCATTCTCTGAATACACCTATCTTATAACACTGAACCTTATGTTTTTCTTTTGGTGAAATTTTTCTTGTTATGTTTCTTGAGATTAAAGGAACCCCTAAAAATGGGGAGTTAAACCTGGAATCAATTTTCATTTATAGCTGAGAAGCAGTTATTGATGCTGTGCTTGCAGTTCAATAAAAGATCTAAAGATATAGACCTTGTGCTTTTCTTTCAATATATGTAGCCTAATCAGTCTCAAATGTTTTTTTAAACAAAGAAATTGTATTGACAGATTTATTAAAATTGTTGTCTTTAAAGTTTTGAGCTATCTAAAATTGGACTTGTTCAAAAGACTTCTCACATATGTAGTGTCCAAACTGTAAAACTCCCTTCCAGCAAATTTTCATATGACCAGGTAGAAATCTGCTTAAATGTTTCATTGAATGAGATCATAATATTAGATTTACACAGCTCCGAGCAGAAGATGGTTTGCAGTGCGCAGGTGTGAACGCCCAGTCAGATAAGAGCATGGCTCTCTCGTGCCCTAGTCATTTCAGATTGACATTAAAAGCAGGGAGCTTAGAAAGAGAAAGGTCACAAAAAACATAGATAATACTTGAAACTACCATTATGGCATGTTAATATTAAAAACACCTTTGTATTAATATGAATTAGAGTAAAACCAGAGATGATTTAATTTCGCCATTCAGAAGTTGAGAAAATCTTTTGTATGACTGGAAATGTTCAATTAGTAACCAAGGTTAGCCAAAGGAATTTAGATAAAGCTTGGCGTGGTAATTCATTGCTTTAAAACCAAAGTCAAGCAATTCAAAGTTTTAGTACAAAAGCGTTCTAATGTTTTGTTCTGGATATGACGGTATGTAGCTGTAGCTTCGTTGTATCCAAATTTATTTAGCGGCCTATTATCCTGATACTCTGAAATGTGCACTTAATTCAAAGCATACTACTAGAGATTTCCAACTGGAGGCTGGTGGCTGAGCCATACAACTGAACCATGTTCCATTTAAAGAAAAAACATTGCCTTCTAGTTCTTCCTCTTCACTGTTTTATTTCATTTTTATTGTCTGTAGATCTTTAACTACCTCACAAAACACATTTTAATCCAGATTTTGGGCTTTGGTTTTATACATGAAACAACTGTGGGGTTTTTAGTGTTGCTGGTTGGTTGATTGTTGTTGCTGCTGTTGCTGTCCTTTTTGTCAGGCCAGCGACTGATCTGTGTTACAAAACAGCTGAACACCTGAATATTCTGGAAGGTTTGAGATGTAATCCTTACACCTATGAGACACATTGGACTTTCAATTCATTAGACAAGCTTAATTGATAGTTGAAAGTTTTCTCATGAAAAAAAATGCAATTCATTATTTGGCTGCATATAAGGTGACTCTTTTCGAGTTGCTATCTTGTAGTGAATATATTAGTTGTGACTACAGATACCCTCCCCTGCTGTAAAGGTTCCTATTTTGTAGCTACCATTCTCCCTCATCACGCCAAACAAGTTGTTACTTCCCCAAGGTTTCGCCACATTTCCATTTACTTTGTTATCAGCAGAAAAGCTAGGGAAGGCCTCTTCAGTAATGACATCAATTCGGCACACACAGCAAGAGAGGTCAGCCTGTCAGAGCTAGAGAAACAGCAGATGGATTAGGATGAAAGCGGGGGCAAAACATCTTTGATAGAGTCTTTTAATGTAAACAGTTTATCTGTCATGGCTTTCATTGAAAACCCCAACAAAATGATAGCGTTGGAGCTGTTAAGATTCCAGAATGTAACTGAACAAAATCCATACATTGTCATACTCAAACTGCCCAGTAATTAGAGGATGAGAGGATATTTTAATTTATTCATTAAAGACAGAAGTAAATAGGATAACATATAAGGTTAATAGAATAACATTGGCCTCCATATTCCCAAGACTGTGTTTTCCATTTGGCTGTATTAGCATAGAGTCCGTATTAATAAGATACTGCTTCAGGCTTGTACAATGGGATTTTTAATAATCTTGCAGCAAGTCTGTGACTATTCAGAAGTCCACATGCTGAATTACGTCTTCTGCTTTTACTACCAAATAGTTTGACTTGTAATCTCTATATAATAGAATGCCTTGAGCATAGCATACCAAGATGCATAGAAGCCTAAATGTTTTTATGTGCTGTGTTTATCTCATAGTAATGTCCAAATACTGGCTAATGTCCACCACACTTTAGGAATCATCCATCTGTGAGTATTTTGATTTTGTAAAGCCATGGACTCTTTTGCTTGGCTTAGCCCTTTTCTCCCCAGGACCTTATCAGATAGCAGTGAAGGTGTATAAAGAGAAACAAGAATGGGCGTGATCCATTATGTCTGAATAGATAAGTCTCACATATGACAGGGATGACCACACTCTTTTCATTCACGATGTGAACACAGCATATATTTGCCTTTTTGAAGATGACAGTAGTAGCAGTATCAGCCACCTGGAGGAACTAAGGGATGTCTCTCTACATTCTCATTTGAACTCAACTGCCAGAAAGAAGAAGCATTACCTTGTTGCCCTTTACACTGACCTTGAGCTGGAAGAAATAGCTACACATGATCCTCTCTCTAGTCTCACTGTACTCTGCTTGATCCAATCCTCGTTTTCTTTTTGTAGACCTCTTCAGTTCCTTACTATTGATTTTCATACACGGTTTAAATCTGGACGTTGCCTTTTAGAGTCATTAGTAAGCAAGCTTTGGAAAAATATACCATGTGTGCCTAAGTTTATTGGAAGCTTCTAATCTTTCAAGTTTAATCAGCATTCTAAAATATACTTACGGAAATATGCACATCTCCAGTAAATGCTGTGCAATAAAACACTTTTCTAAATTAAAAATGCATGAATTTTGGAATTTATATACTTTCTTTGAAAAATTTCCTGATGTTTTGGTTTAGGTGTCATGCTTGCCTTGGTCCCCCTGCCCTAAATATCTACCGTCAGTGTGAAAAGCCACCAGACAGGCTTTAAACACCAAAGATCTTGTTCTGAATGGAAGCAGAATTTGCCTCATTCTTAAACAGTCACATTTACTTTTCTATTCATATATCAAGAGCAAAGAGAGTAAGCTTTGTAAGTAAACAGACAAGCTGTGCAAATTTGAGATTAACTATCAGTCTAGGATTGCCATTCAGAACAGAAGTGGATAAGCAAATAATAGCAGAACTTGTTGGGCTCTGATGGCTCACACCTATAATCCTAGATACTAAGAAGGCTTAGATCTGAGGATTAAGGCTCAAAGACAATTCAGGCACAAAAGTCTGTGACACTTTTCACTGCAATTAACCAGTGAAAAGCAAGTGGACATATGGCTCAAGTGGTAAAGCACCAACCTTGGGCAAAAATGTCCAGTGAGAACTCGAGGTCCTGAGTTCAGGTCTCAATATCAG